TCATTATTGACTGATATAGATGAACGATGCGCCTCCTTTGAACATATCACTAAATCAAAAGGATATTTCGAATTGGCGTATGAGATGCTTTCATCATTATTGTTGTCAAAGTCATTACCATCGAAGATATCATCATAACGTTAGATAGCTGATAACGTTAGAGCCATAACGATTAGCCACGAAACAATTGTAAAAGTCATTAAAAGATTCCATTTTTTAAACTTAATAAGGGATCGAATATCTATTAAAATTATGGGAAAGAAATTGTTTATTTCGAAAACACATTACGATCGGTTTCAAAAATTTCAATGTCCATTAAACTTGGGTTTCTGGCATTACTCACTGAAGGGTTGCTGCATTTTCATTACTGACAGAACAAAGTCTATTCACCATTTATATTTACGTGAAAGCTGTTCACCATCGTAAAGGGGGAGTAGAAAAAGAATCATCTGATCAATGTAAACAAAGCTACAGCTGAGAGGGGTTCATGGAGAAACGTCAAGTCTGCCTAGGGGCCAGCCAAGATGGCCGACTTTTAACCGGAAAATGGTTGCATCTTGCTATTTTCTTTTAATTTATAAAAAAGTTGTACAAAAAATATTGGTTATTTATTAAAACTTTAATATGTTTTCAAAATAAAATCAGTTTACTTTAATATATATTCTTAAAGTAGCGGCTATTATTGGCAAATTCTAGAATAATTACGATATACATTTATGCCTTTTTTTAACTGTGGTAACTTAATAAATATTCACCACAGTAAAATGTAAGTTGCAATTAAGCAACCATGTCAAATAATGGGATGCAGAAAATGCTTTTTCAACGAAACTAAGGGCAATGTTTATAAATTTGCAAAACAATCTTTGTAAATGAATAATGAATATTTAATAATGCTCCTGATAAAACTGCTCACACAAGAATTTTTATCAATAATCAGGTGTGTATTAGTGCATATAAAGTAATAATAAATAATAACTAAAATAATTTTTTTCCAGAGGAAACCTGTAGAAAATAATAAACCTATTTTAACCCGCCCATAATGTGCATGATCGGTATATCGTTTTAGAAGGATTTTATAAAAAGTTTCGGTGTCTTTGGGATGAAATTTACATTACATATAATTTTATTAATAGACGCCCTGATCCTTTAGATTGCGTACATAGTGATTTCAATTTGGAAACTGATTTATGTATGACAACAATTTGGAAAGTAAAATTGCAAAAAATATGTTTCGATGTAAAAAAACAAACATTGCGTTGTAAATGATACAAGATTGCGTATATGTAAATTAGTATACTCCTACGATCAAATTGATTTTATCAAAGTAAATGTTTTTAGTGTGCATCTAATTGTTTTCAAAGCTAATATGTGGCCAGTATTATAGTGCTCACCACCAACAAGAGTTAGAATCATGGGAAATTTTTTCATTTGCAACACCTCTTTGCATTCATTGAAACAATTTAAAAATCTAACCTGATAATATGAATACTTTGTTTAATTAAAAACAGGATTTTTTCTAAGCCAAATATTTTATTTCGTTACATTTTTATACCATTCCTTATATCTATATCGCATTTTCCACACCACCATGAGGTATGCAAATAGGCGCGTTACCGATTTTTTTGGGTGTTCCGTTCCCCAGGAGGCCTATTTTAACCTATATACCTTAAAACTAAATAACAAAATTATATATAATAAATAAATTTAAAAAACAAAAATATTCGAAAAATTCATTTTACATTTTATGTGCATGCATTACCAACAGTGGAGATCTAACAAAAACCCTGAGAAAATTCTTTTAATTCAAATTATAGAAAATAATACTAACCTGTTGATCCAAAATAAGTTGTGTGAAATGTTTCTATGAAAAAAAAACATAAAATAATTATATTAAAACAATTATCAAAAACAAAAAACAAGTCAGTCCGCTTTAAAAAAAGTTGTTAATAAATTCAAATGTGTTGCCAGTATTGCTATTAAGCATTGCGTAACAGTGTTGCGTAAGATAATTTTAAATTACTTTTTAAAAATTAAATATATCTACCGTATTTTATACCATAAAGATATTGCACCTTCAACAAATATCTTATTTTAGGAGTCTATATATTTAAAAACTAAACTTAGAACTATATAACAATATGGTAATTTATTTATGTAAAGAGTTATATGTAAAATTTTGTACATATTATAATCGCTATATGCTGAAATACAAAAAGGAGCTCAACAGCAGTATGCCTATCGTATTTTATACTATAAAGATATTGCAACTTCAACAAATAATTTATTTTAGAAGTCTATATATTTAAAAACTAAATTAAGAACTATATAATAAAATGATAATTTTTTATGTCAAGAGTTTTAATAAAATATTGTACATATATCCACCGCTAAATGCTGAAAAAATATAATTAAATATTAATAAATGAAATTATAAAACGTAAATAAAATTTGTGATTAAATAAATATATACTTAAATTAGAGAAAACATCGGCACAGTAACTATTTTTTTGATATAGGTACAATGAGAAATTTTATTTTATTGTTTAAATGAATTATTATCACTTGTATAACAATGATAAGTTTTGCTTTTTTGATTATATAAATTACTATTACTTATAATTCTGTTACAATAGTTATTTCTTCACTTCCACTTATAGTTAGATTGAATTTTCAGTTTGTCCATTAATAAGTTATTTAATATGCTTAAAAATATGCCGCATCAACATGGTATAATGCTATGTTGGTTTTATTGTGAACGTACGCCTCCGAGGTGGCGAAACTACTGTGAATGGGACTTTCGCTACTCCCTTATACCACGCTATTCACTCACCAAAGACGGCCTAACCATACAGAAATTATTCAATACTGTTAAAGAACAACAACAACACCAATTTGAACAAACAATGCATATGGAGTGCAACGGGTCAGGTGGCGATAATGATGATGATGATGACGATGACGACCATAACAACAATAAAAGAGATGTTGAGACTAGTCAAAAACATTCCGACTTTCGTTTTCTAAACATTTACTTGCAACCGTATCTCTGCACTAACAGTGTTTTGCATCCCGTCAATTCACGCATTCTCAATAACATGACTGAAGACTCTAAAGTCACATTGCTCAATTATAATAACGAACAATTCTGGCAGCAGTACTGGCTCGTTGCTTGCGATTTGATTTTGAAAAATATTTATGGACCTTTGGTTTTTTGTTGTGACATGGAAACTCTGTCTGCATTTGTGAAGACAGTGACTCTGCGTTTCGTGCATAGTCAAATGCCGATCCTAAATAATATCTCACACGAGCGCTTGTTACGCATGTTGAACGAGAATATCAATTATGTTTCAAAATTTCCGGCCGTCGATATGTTGCATTTACTACCAAATCCGAGTCCCGCGTACATGGATGCCAGAGATCTCTTTGACATTTTAAAGCGTGGCCACTCTGGTCATCTAACCAATATTCGACCGATTCATCATGTGACGAACGAGGCTAATTTCTTAGACACGTGGCGCACGAATTGGTGCATATTCATCCGTTTGAAAAGCAAAAATTCGCATTCGCATTTCCTGTGGCGTGGGACACTTTCTGCGTGGCAATAATAAAACTGTCCGAGTTTCGTTGCAATGTCGACGTAAAACACAAGTGTGTACATTTGAAGACACGACAAGAGGAATTTGAAATCTATAACAAACGTATTTTACATCAAAATAAATATCCGCGGCACTACTTTACCGGCCATACGGGCCTCCATCAAAATGGGATTACTAGTGTGGCGGGACGAGCTGCCGAAAATACAAAAACGATCGAGTTAACCAATCGTGGCATCATCTGTAGGCATGTGCTCGAAGTGATGGTCGACGAGTATGGCGAAGATGCTGTGGACGATGTACTGGACTTCCATTGCTTCCTCACGAATAGTATTTTCGAACAACCCAATGGTAGTGTGTGGGAGAGAGTCATCTACGAAACACTTGGCGTGGACAAAAAGTTACCCATGCGCGACAATATTTCAACATCCCGTCAACGTATCTCCTGCATGCAGGTTCTGTGTAGCCAGAAACGTATGAATGATATACACCGATTTTGTTTGCCCAAAAGATTTTTTACATTGTTGTGGTTTAAATGGGCGTGCAATGCTTTAAAAAAAATATTTTCGACGAGGAAGACGAGTAATATAATAAGATGTCATGTATTTATACTCAATATAAAAAAAATACACTTTAATGTTTAGAGAAAATAAAAACCAAAATGGGACCGAACATTGATGCATTTAGATTGAAGGGAGAGAGAAGCGACTCTCACAGCAAGGTTATGGAGAATGTCTTCATGCACAAAATAGAAACGATATTAGACAACGAAGATATTCCGTCGCGTAGTCGTAGCCACTATTTGAAATTTATATCGATTTTATTCGATTGCACATTGACGCCTCAACAGCAAAATATGTGAACGTTTTCTGTCCATTTTTTATACGCATTGAAAAGGACACGCGTCTCTTTCGCACCCTTTTATATTTGGCCGTAGACATGGCGAAATTATTTAATTTTGAAGATTCACCAATCGTGTAGGCTTTTAAAAATCTATCCTTGAAGGATCATTTTCTTAATTTTGTTGACTTTGCAAAACGAAAAAATTTGTTAATTAAAAATAACACACCTTTTCAGTTGTTTCTGTCGTTGGGCAGAGGCGGCGTAAGGCGTGGGCGACGTGGGCCACCGCCTACGGCCTCGCGGTACAAGGGGCCTCGCGACTCAAAAATTTTTAAAACAATAATAAAACAAAAAATATATATAAATCAATTTTGTTGTGAAACATGTTTTCTTAGTCTGGCAACATTTGCCGCCGACCGGAGTGCGGGGAATCCCCGATTTTATTTGTTTACTTTCTTTACAAGGAAGTCAACGCAGTCGCTAGGCGCATAACAATAGAAACGTATAATTGTGTTATTCAATATTGTTTATTTTTATGGCTACGTACCTATTTTGATAACAATAGTGTATTCAATGTTTTAATAATATTTAGTGAATAAATAGATAGTGTTTAGGTATATTGATTGCTCCTGTAAACTGACCCAAAATTTTAAAACAGTGACTTTTTTAAATTGTTTTTTGTTTTCTTTGTGATTTGTAACACACCGGTACCTGTACTCGTCTATTTTACATAAGGTAAGAAATATTTAATTGGTAATAAGTATATAACGCAGTAATTACTAGTATATAAAATACGCTTAATAATATATTTTGAAGGAAACTAAAAAAGCTTTAAGGTAAAAAACGTATCGACTTTTTAAGTTTTTAAAACTAGCAGGTAGTAAGAGCTATCTTAAAGATTTTTATTTGAAAACTAATTAAAATTTAGGTTTTACAATATTATGTAGATAAAACTGCAAAAAATGTTAACTATTGCTTTCGTTTAAAGTTTATAGATACGACGTTATCGACATGTCCGGCCGAGATAGAGATATTGGAAGAAAATGGGAGTCTGGATCAGCAAAAAGAAAAAGAAAAGCTGAAAGAACTGCAACCAACCAAGTTTTGAGTTTAAATTTGATGAAGTTCCTCAACCAAACTGCATCTGGTAGTACAGAACCTTCTGAATCGATAGCTTCAACTTCTACACAACAAACGTCCGAGATACCATTGGAAAATGCTCTAGATGCACTGAATACCGAGAGTGAACGTCAGTTAGACGTAGAGCTTGGATCATCTTCTAGCCAATCAAAATTTGACGCTGAAACTCTTGTGCTATCATCAAGCAGTCAAGAAGAACAGATTGACATAGATTCTTCAATTCGCAGCGACGACGCCAGCGCCACAGTTCAGCAAGTACTTGTTAATTCGGATCCGGGATTGTGGACGTTTCCCATAACGGATACACAGCGTCGTGACATAGTTCGAAGCGGCCCCACACAGCAATTAAATAGCGGTGATGAATATTATCCCAAAGGTGATGATAACAGACACTTTTCCAATTTCTATTTCTCGAGAAAACTAAATAATGGTGAAACTGGTTAGTTTATTCCAATTCCCAAAATAAAGTTTACTGTTTTCCATGCAGATTTAGCAATTCACAAACTCAGGTGGTGCAAGGAGGGTGTTGTGACTGGAAACATTTAAGTAGCATTTTACATAGACATGAGAATACCAAAGAACATATGGCACATATGTTCCAATGGTTAACTTTAGAGAAAGGAATAAATCAAGGCAAAACAATAGACCAAGAAAACGAAAGGCTAATACGTGAATCACAAAAACATTGGCACAACTTGTTAGAGAGAATAATTGACATAATAAATTTTTTGGCCTCTCATAATCTTGCATTTAGAGGTCACAGAGAATCTCTCTAGACAGGTGACGGTATTAAGAATTCCGGTAATTTCATAGATTTATTTAAACTGATATCAAAATTTGATCCTACTTTACGTGAACACATGAAACGCATTAGTGACAAACAACTTTCACACCATTATTTAAGTCACGATATTCAAAATGAATTGATCATATTGATGTCAAAAACAGTTGCCAATGATATTATTCGTAAGGTTAAAGAAGCAAAGTATTATTCTTTTTTGCTCGATTGCACTATAGATTGTAGCAGAGTTGAACAAATGTCGGTTATCTTAAGATTTTGTGATACGTCTACTGGTACAATAGTCGAACATTTTAAGGGATTTCTAGCTGTTACTCAGACAACTGGAGAATATTTAGCCAATGCTATACTAACACTTAGAAAAATATGACTTAAATATTCAAGACTGCCGTGGCCAGGGATACCCATCAAAATCAAATTATATTTTCTATTCTCGACGACACAGTCAGTTCTATATCGCGACAATGACGACACAAAGTTTCATGAAAGGTCGACAATATTTGCGCCATATTCTAAAACAAATGGCACGTACCAAATAAATTTTGAGAGCTTATTCTTGAAACATGTATCTTTTTGAATATGCAGGAAAAAAAACGATTTTTTTGATATCACAATTAAACTTATTTATAAAATTCTAACAAATACGACTGTGTTAATATAATAAGTAAATTATGGCAATCAGTACAAATTCATTTAAGCATTGCTCTTGAACATTTACACACATTTTGTGAATGGATAAAAGAGTATCGGAAAACTGGATTGTTAATATAATAAGTAAATTATGGCAATCAGTACAAATTCATTTAAGCATTGCTCTTGAACATTTACACACATTTTGTGAATGGATAAAAGAGTATCGGGAAAATGGATCTAATGTTTTTTAAGTATACACTTTAAGAAATGTATATCTCCATCTTTATATTAACGATTTGTAATTTTTCATTAATACTTATTAATCTAATTTGTATTTTTATGACTAAAAACTTGGTAGTGTTAATTGTTTTGTTTGGTTTTATTATTTTATAAAACCGTCTTCAGGTCGCCATAGAACAGGGCCACGCGAAATCTGTCTTGCCCACATCAAATTTAGGTCTTGCAACGCCACTGTCGTTGGGTTTGTCCATATTTAAATTGGCCGTGCATAAAAATATCTATGAGGACGATGCTTCTGGAATTTCTTCATTGAATTCCACGGACAGTGGGGATGAGAGCCACCCAATATATGAGTTGGAACCCAAAAAACATGAGCAACAAGAGGACGATAAGGATCCTTTAGAGGCTTTGTTTGATGATTTATCACACGACCACGGACCCGATGGAAATGGAATTCATTTGAACGGAATCCTGAAACCGCACAAAAGTGGACAAACTGAATTAGATTTAGAGTGTTTCAAACCAACACGGGTGGTGTCCATACTCCTACGCCATTATCCAATGCAGTGAAGAGTTCTAACGACTAAATCAATATCTATCAGCGCATTGTGAGAGTGCGTTACAATGCATTCAACAAATTGCGGACAGAGACAAAATTCTTGTGCCCATCAATATGTCGGGACCGTTCATATCGAAGAACTACCCAAATCGACTTCTCAATGAGATCTTCTTCAGGACGGCTCGCAATGAATTGAGCTACCAGATGGTGAGCGAATCTGTCATGCAAATCTTTGTTCCGCTAACAATGCTTAACATCTTGGATCAAATTAATTTGTTGTCATTTCGGTTATACTGTGGCATTGGGAAGATTGCTCTAGCGCCAAATTGCAGCATTACAAATGAGCGCATCTATCTAGGTACGGGTTTGTCTATTCGAAATGCACTGAGCCATGTTGAAATTTCAAAATTTAGACAATTCTATCCTGACTCCATATACCGTATAATTCGTTGCATACACGGCGATTGTATACACAGCAACTATGATGTTCTGGTATTGTTTGCCGTGCCTAATAATATCAATTATAGCATAAGTCCGCAGGTGTTCATTGCCAAGAGGAAATTTATTACATCCATATTCGATATAGACAAACTAGACATTATGGTATTTTGTTAAACAAAATTTGTTTTATTAAATGAGATTTGTTTTTATATATGACGAAGATTGATAATTTTTTTAAACACTTTGACTGAATTAGCCGAACGCTTGTCAGAGCGAAAGCGATAAAAATGCAACTTTTTATTGACTGCATCTACGTGGAATTCTACTATATTAGGTGTTTTGGTAACTTTCTAAATTGGAAATTTTGCCGCCAGTACCTCGGTATCACATTCTATGGACCATAAGTGTTGTTGGAATGGAGGAAAATTTTACTTTATTTGAGAAGTAGAGAAAGTCTTTCATATATTTGAAATGTTTGTTTGGAAATTTTCGGTCAAATTCCAGCCAGTTCATCGTTTTCTGCATGTCTACAAATTTTGTCATTTTCTTCAAGTACTGATTTTTCGTTTTCATACGTTTCAATTTGTTGTGTCTTTTAATTCTCGCTTATCCAAGGCTTTTTGATGCCCGTATGTCACACATGCGATTATAATAAACGGAAGGGGATTGTATATGTACTCGATGTTGAGAACTTTTAAAACAGGATAAAAATATAAAAAGCAAGTAGACAACACACGATCTGTACTCTGGTCGTCAACACTTAATTTGTGCATCATAATGGTGAAGGCAATTACACAATTCAAAAATAGAGCAACGGTAGCAACCAGTACTCGGTTTCGCATTTGTATAACTATATGAAATAACATAGATGACTGGCTAGATGAGTTACGCTCCCCCTGCCGACACGCCACTGATCGCCAACACTCCACATCAACACGATCCACAAGAAGACTCCACCCACTAACACACATAAACACACGCCACCCCTGCAGACATCACACCACTCAGACTACCTACACATACACATCCCATCACACCACACATCTACAGAACCCAACACTCAAAAGGGACTAACACAGGACCCGAGGCCTTGTTTTCGTTAGCAAATCGAGCTATCGAGACGTCACAATTTTCCGCCCGTATTTTTATAAGCCTTCGTACCGGCCGTATCCGTTTTTTTTCATATATTGGGGATTGAAAGTGCAAACAAGTGCAAAAGGGTGAGTGCGTAATCGAAACAAATATTCAATGACAATAAATTCGATATGCTCCTTTTTTGACGTTCATTTACATCTTATCACTACTGACGACGATGATCGCCATTGTTGTTGTAGCGGTAGAATTCTGCCGAGTTGACAGTCCTTGGCCGGAATAAACCCGGGTCGTTCTGGTTACGTAGACCCGACTGTCGTGGGAACGGCGATGATCGCCATTGCATTAGCCATTAATGCACTGCAACATTTCCGGTGAATATTAGTTAGTAACGTTTATGAGAGCGCGGTGACAGCCGTAATGGGATGAGTTCGGGGTGCCTCATGTTTATCAAAGTTTTCACTTCGCACGGCAGCACTCCATTAATGTCAAGATGTATTGTTTTATAGTATTCTATTTTTTGTGGATCCACACAAATTACTCCAATGGAAACACCATACTTGGAACCCTATTGGGGAAACTTCTCGTCGACAATTGCATAGCTTGAGGTACAGGTTGAGCAAATCGGTTGCATCTGTTGCTGATTTTCCTGAAAAGGTTTCGTTGCACTAGACGCCTTATTGGCGCTGCAATCGCATGCACTTGTTTCCATGTTCAAGTGACCGCCGCTGTCGAAAAAATTACAAGAATCATAGAAAAGTTGAAAGCGGTTGCCTAGATCAGGACGATTTTCAAAAGTGACGAATTTATTAGAGGACAGTGTTGCAGGTATATCTGTACTGGTTGTTGTCTTCAGGTATTGGAAGTTTCTCGTCAATATCATCTATAACTAATGTAGAGGGCACATATTTTGAGTAGATGAGTTTCTTTAAGTTATCACGGAATTCATACAACAGTGCGCATCCCACGATATCATTTTCATATGGACCCCTCAACAGTTGTGGATACTTTGGCAATCAAAGAGTTTCGCCACGACTGCAATTTACATATTTAGATTGCAGCGAGCTAAACTTGTTGGTAAGCACCCTCCGCCCTGACGCAAATAAATGTTATTCACGATAATATTGTTACTGTTAATGAACTTGTAACTAAATTGAGTGCTGCTGGTCGCATTGCATATTTGCGTACAGTCCTTTCGAAATTTCCTTTCTCTTGATAAATAGTAGCGTAGGTAGTTTGTTTTGAATCGCTGCCGAAGGCCGCCAACGCAAAACCGAATTAAACGCGAAAGATCTGAAGACACCTGGGTGTTGGACCGGCCAGGGTTACTTTTTCGAAGCCCGGCCGAAGGCTGTTACTGCAAAAAGCAATTCTACGCGAAAAATTAATTATGTGTGATTATTTATTTTAAACTTGATAATCAATAATAGTTTAAAGATGACGTCGTCAGGGAAATCACTTAAAATTTTTGAAAATTTTGCACGAAACTAAAATATAATACTTATATTTTGATATTAATCTGTTAATATAACGAAATATTCATATTCCCAACAATTTCATGTCAGTTGTTTGCAAAACTATATGGTCGTCTGTTCAAACTCGATCGTCACCTTGATGAGAAAATTGATATCAAGACGGCTTTTAAGTTCGAAAGGTGTTAGTGAATTGCAACATGAATGCAATTTCTTGATCGTGTAACGTTCGGGTAAATGTGGCAGCACCATCAAGAATTTATAAAATATATAAAAGGATAGATATATTTTCTAGTTATTTTATTTTACGAAAAAATTACACGTGTAAGTCCCTATTTGCGTCCAAATGGATCCGACCAAACTTTCATATTTCCAGGCTGTATTTCCTCTTGCCTAATTCCGGCCCGGTTATGTTTCTGAATCTCTCTATATTTTTCGACATTCATCATTGGTTCTATAATTATCGGGTAAAGTGCTACGCCAATTCCGCCTCCAATGCAGGATATAAATGCTGCATATCTCCACCCACGTAAAAAAACCATACTTTGATATTAACTGTTAAAAAGTAATTTTATAACCTTAAACGATGAATAACTTGGTATATTAACATTTCGTTAATCACTTAATGGCAAGGATAAAATGAACCTAAACTCTTTGATTTGACAGAGCGCTGTCAAAGTCCACATTTTTTATAATATTTGACAGTGGTGCCATTAAGGAAAGAAATAAGTTTTGAGATTTTTAAATGTATTTCTTGGGTATTTTTCGGTTTCCATTTAACAGAAAATATACATAATTAAAATTAGTTTAACAAGCTAGATATCCTATATGACTTCTAAATATAAGTACATGTATATTTTAATCACAAAAGATTTTCAAAATTAACGGTTAAAATTAAATTTAACAAAATATTTTAATATTTCAAAACACACAAGTTTTAAATAACCTAAACATGATCTTTATTTCTTTTTTATATACTCAATTAACATATATCTTTTGATAATTTATTCGGAAGTCAAAGTTTACATAACATATGCTGGGAATTCTAACCAAATTAAGTATATAAAAGTCAACAAAAAATCTGATATCACAAATTACCCACTGATTTCGCAATTTATTTCTGCGGGATTCTTTGTTGTAGTTCTATGTTTTGCTTGTCACCTGTTCAGTAGCTCATGAACTCGTGGTTTTTCTTGGCAGCACTGAAAGTTCATGAGTTATCTCAGAACGCAAAGAGAGGAGTTTCAGATCATTTTATCAATTCTTAATGGGCTGGTTAAAAAAATAAAAAGTTACACTACGAGAGAGTTGCCTGATGGTTTCTCACATGTTCGATGAATCTATGATATATACATTACTATTATTACACTTGGAAAAAAAAAATATTTATTATAAAACATAAAATTAATTTCTAAAAGTATTTGGAAAGTACAATATATTACATAAAGAAAAATAATGGTGAAATATCACGTGTCATGGAATTTGTTTAATATGGCACTACGTATATTTGATGAATTCTTTTTCAGTAATATTCGCATTCATTTCTTCCCTTTTTTCTTTTAATTTCATTTTAGCAGCTTCAGCAGCTCAGATCTAATATTTCGATAAACGTAAAATAATTTTGTGCGATTGGTAATTAACTATTTGCTTTAAATTAAATATGAACACTATTTACATATTATACATAGATTAGAAACGTAAAATTTACGTAATAAATAAATACAAAATTTTTACGTGTTTTTAATTTTGGAGACGTTGATGGTAAAGTATGGTTGACATATTTACTTTTGTTCATTCTTATGTGGTCTTTATAAAAAGATATTTTGGCTACTATTTTTGTGGAACTATTGTATATCGAAAAAATGCTTGTAATGGTAATTCGGGTTGACTAAAGTAGAACTGTCAAGTGATTTTTCAACGAAGTTATAAGTCTTTTCTTCAATTTATAGATAAATACTCTGTGGACAAATTGTAATATAAAGAAAGTATTCAAGTATTGACGAAAAATTTGGCATTTGGTACGGTGAATAAGTTTAGATTGTATGCTGATACTATATCGGCGGAACACATCACTATCGAAAAACCAATATTTAACATAAAAGAATTCATATAAAATTACAACACGCGAAGTGTTAATTTATTGAAAATCTGTTGATAAAAAAACGCTAACGTTTGTGTTGGCGAATAGTCATCGTACGTATTAGTGTGTTCAGAAGAAAAAGTGGAGGAAAATTGTCGTCGATTACAGACCATGAATTTGAGGGGCACCGCTCCCAAGAAGGAGGGAAAGATGCGGATTCGCGCTTTTCCGGTAAGTAGAATAACATTTAGGTATGTCTGTTTGCATACTCTTAAAAACAATGATTGACTTTAAAATAATAAGTAAAAAAAAATTATTATTATAATATAATATAATATTGTTGCATATAGACATGGTCTATTGTTTAAAATGGTAAATGTATAGTTTAGGTCCCCCAACTAAGGAGGCCTCAAAAATTAATTTATTTTTAAATCGTCTTATTTTGACGCAAATATTACAAATCCGTGAGCGGAAAGTGAATTTTTATTTAACTTAAACTTTTATTGTGATATTAATAATTACACATGCTCTGCATCGTGATGAAAATTATCATCGAGGTCAAGAGCAGCGAAAAGGAGTTTGACGCGATTGATTTATGAACACCCCGGTTTTGGACCGACCAAGGTTATTTTTTTTAAGCGCGACCGAAGGCCGCCAGTGCATTAAGGAGTTTGACGCGATTGAATTATGAAACCCCCGGTTTTGGACCGACCAGGGTTATTTTTTTTGAAGCGCGGCCGAAGGCCGCCAGTGCGGAAAGGAGTTCGACGATCTCCGATATTCGTCCATACCATCAGATCGCGGCGCAAAAGAAATTGTGACTGTTACAATTCTTCAGTATATTTTTTTCATAAGAAAATGTTTAACACGCTGAACTGGTAATTACAGCTAAGTGATCTAAATTCTACAGAATTTTGCCGCTACAACAACAACTAAGTTACTTGAATATGTGATACATATGTGGAAAGTATGTTAAATCAATTTTGATAAATATACATAAATTATTGAAAAAATTCACTTTCCGCTCACGGATTTGTAATCTACGCGTAAAAATTAACGATTTAAAAAAAATTTTATTTTTGAGGCCTCCTTAGTTGGGGGACCTAAACTATACATTTTCCAAAATAATTTCTATTTCATAAATTAAAATATTTCTCAACCGGTACTGCAAAATATTTTAATGAAAAATGGTTAGATTTTTTGGAGAATATATGTATAAGTACATATAAAATTAAATTAAATATCTTTCGTGGTGAATCCACTTTATGATTTGAGTTTCTATAGCTTACACCGCATTATTTGTCAAAGCAAAATCTTTTGTCTCTGAAAAAAATTGAATTTTTCAAGAAGTTAAGACAGAAAAATTATTATTTGTGAAAAAACGACATCATCCGTTTCAAATTTGTAAAATTAACAAAGAAGAGAGATACAACGAAGGGACTTGAACGCATACCAATAGCATATACAATTCTACTAATCCAGACTATAGGCTTAAATATCTTTAATAAACATTGTTTTTTAACGGAAATAAGAAGAGAGAAGTTAATTTAAATTAAGGAATTGAAGTGTTAAGTAGAGAGAAAATGTTTAAATGACAAAAAATCTAAACCAATGATTGAGAAAAATAGGTACAAGAGACAACAACGTCGTTTTGAGGGGAGTAGAAAAAGCGGAAATTTAATAATTAAAACGCCAAAATCCTAATAGCAGCTAACGAAAACTTGCAATAGTAATCAATCTTAGATTATACTGTACTTCATTAAATCACGAAAGCTTGCGATAAGAAGATATTTTTTGAGTAATTTGAAGTTTTTTTTAATACGACGTTGGTCAGCACGTTTGCTCATATATTTCGATTTCAGCCGTTCGTCCCATTACGAACATTAAAGGCAAATCGGCAAATCAATGCCCAAGGATAATAAACCTGGAGCACAAGAGCGTCAAAAAAGTTTTCTATTCACGAACAGCCAAAACTGTCATTCGCCTAGCAGTTCTGTGAATAGTGGTCGCTATCGCAAATTTTTTATACGTGGACGCACAACAGTGGGTGTACAGGGTTCAACAGCAGCTAGCAGTGCTGCACGTGAACAACGCTGCACATTACAATCATCTCCACAATATGCTGGTGCTAGTACAAGCTTGCTACATGTCGGGACTGTTTGCAGCGTGTCCGTGGGCTTAAATTCTAAACATCAAAAACTCACTGAAGTTCAACGAAAGTTCCCTCTTTGGTTGCCGGAGTACAAAACGAACGCTTTTAATGTTAGCTGAATATGTTTTTTCTTAGCTTTTTTCGTTGTTAGTTAATACTCAGAGTTCTTAATACATTACTCATTTTTAATTTTTCTAAACGATCACAGGCTTCTATGGATGAAAAATATGTTGAATCGATTTGGGCGAGCTTAAAAAATGCTATACAAGAGATTCAGAAGAAAAATAACTCTGGCTTGTCTTTTGAGCAGTTATATCGGAATGCATATAATATGGTGCTACATAAACATGGTAATCGGTTGTATTATGGCTTGCGTGAAGTGGTCTCCGAACACTTAGAACAAAAAGTACGACAAGATGTGCTGGAAAGTTTACATAATAACTTTCTTCCTAAGTTAAATCAGGCTTGGAGTGATCATCAAACTTCTATGGTAATGATACGTGATATATTGATGTACATGGATCGTGTTTATGTACAACAACGCGAAGTAGATAATGTTTACAATTTGGGTTTAATATTGTTCCGAGATCAGGTATGTTTTATTAAGTTAATTTGTTATCATAAATCGAATCGTTAACCAAAAAATTTATATAGATTGTGCGTTATTCAGAAATTCAAAAGGCTCTACGAGAAACATTACTCGGAATGGTTATGGACGAGCGAAGCGGAGAAGCCATCAATCATTTAGCGATTAAAAATGCGTGTCAAATGCTTATGTCACTGGGAATTAATACGCGATCGGTATATGAGGATGACTTTGAGAAACCATTTCTTGCACAATCTGCATCTTTTTATAAGTTTGAATCACATAAATTTCTTAACGAGAACAATGCGGGTGTTTATATAAAAAAAGTCGAGGTTGTTATTTTGATATTGTTAAAGATTTTTTCAAATTTTTAGTTTTTTTAGGCACGTATACAAGAAGAATCTGCACGGGCTGCCCTATATTTAGACAAAGACACTGAACCGCGAATCGTTAAAGTTGTCGAAGATGAACTTATTAAGAAGCATATGCGTACTATTGTTGAAATGGAAAATTCTGGTGTTGTTTATATGATTAAAAATTCAAAAACAGAAGACCTTGCCTGTACCTATAAACTATTTTCACGTTTAAAAGAAGAAGGTCTTAAAGTAATTGCTGATACAATGTCATCGTATTTGCGTGAACAGGGCCGAATATTAGTAAAGGAAGAAGAAAATGGGAATACGAATCCAATAACTTTTGTACAGAATTTACTTGATTTAAAAGATCGTTTCGATCAATTTTTACACCATTCATTCAACAATGACCGATTATTTAAAAATGTAATATCAGCGGATTTTGAGCATTTTTTAAATTTAAATCAAAAATCTCCCGAATACCTTTCTTTATTTATTGATGATAAACTTAAAAAAGGAGGCAAAGGTGTAAGTTTTATATTTTATTTCTGTTATATCGGTAGACTATACTGATCAATATTGCAGATGAGTGAACAAGAAATAGAAACAATTTTAGATAAAACTATGGTACTTTTCCGATTTCTTCTGGAGAAGGATGTTTTTGAACGTTATTACAAAACTCATTTGGCCAAACGCCTGCTACTCAATAAATCAGTTTCCGATGATTTTGAGAAAAATATGATATCAAAATTAAAGGTATTTCAGATTCAGATTTCATATGTCAATACTACAATTTCTTTCCTTCTGCAGACTGAGTGTGGATGTCAATTTACCTCAAAACTTGAAGGTATGTTTAAAGATATGTCCGTGTCAAACACCATTATGGAAGAGTTTAAAAACTATGTAAATGTACACAACTTGTCGTTATCGGGTGTTGAATTGACAGTGAGGATACTAACAACAGGATTTTGGCCCACCCAAGTATGTAAATTATTAATATTAAACTATGAATCTAAAATTTTAATAAAATTGAACGTTAAAATTGCAGACAGCAACACCCAACTGCAATATACCTTCTGCCCCCCGTGAGGCATTTGAAATATTTAAAAAGTTTTATTTGGATAAGCATTCAGGCAGGCAGTTAACATTACAGCCACAAATGGGTAAAACAGTAAAAACATTATACTATTTTAAAGTATAAACAAATTTTTATGAAATAGGTACGGCTTATATTAATGCAATCTTTTATGGGCGCAAAGTGGATAGTGATAAAGATAAAGACGGTCCCAGTTCAAGCATGTCATCAAGCTCAAATGGTTGCATTGTGCCAACAAATACGCGTAAACATATACTACAGGTGTCCACGTATCAGGTATTTAAATTGTAGGACTTAACTGTTGTAAACAAATTTTGACATTTTAAATTTAAGATGTGCGTATTAATGCTGTTTAACAACCGTGATTTGTTAACATATGAGGATATACAGCAGGAAACTGATATCCCTGAACGGGAGTTAGTACGCGCTCTTCAGTCACTGTCAATGGGGAAACCTGCGCAACGATTACTTGTGCGAAATTCAAAAACGAAGACAAAAGATATCGATCCAACAGATGAATTTTATGTAAACGATGCATTTGTTTCTAAATTCCACAGGTAAGAAATGTTCTCTTTAAAATGTACACAAAAGGGACAAGTTCGGTATGGTCTGTTGATCACGGGCTCTATGTGATTATTTTCAATGTTGGTTTTAGATTAATTCTTTTTAGTATAAACAAATACATTAAATTATATTTACTTTATATTAATTTTTTTAAGCTAGAAAACTCAGTCGATAAATGAAATATGCAGGAATGAAAATGAAAATCATGACATCCACGGTGAGAAGGTTCGCTTTGTGATCTAAAAAATTATGAAATGGTAGGGGTCTTAACTGCCTCGAAAAGCTAGCCGTTATATTAAACTTAACTTCAGACAAAAGAAAATAACTACAAACTGATACTTTTAGGAGTTTGACTACTAATATTATGTCAAGCATTTTCCTAAGGTATCTGAGTGTAGATCTATCATATCAAGTCATCAATTGAAAAAATAGCGCTTTCTTTTCATACATAAATGCATTATGTTATTCTGTCCTATGCTCGGGTTGTCAAGTTTGCGTGTTCTTTTCTCAATATTTTTTTTTTTAGGTTATTTTGTTCTTTTCTTATTCTACCCCAAAAAGTTTAATATTTTCTATCCTTTTCAAAACGTAAGAGTGGGAGTTGCTCAAGTTGCTTTATCGTTTTTGAGAGATATATAAGGTAAAGTAAAAAGTTCGTTCCGTTTTTATCTAAGAGATGGCGTTATTGTCCATAGTATTAGTGCATCATGTCATACTATACGGCGCTGAAAACGTGTTTATTCGCGCTAAAAGTTTGTCTTTGACAGTTTTTCGATTGATTGACTCAGTACGTTGTGAGCGCTCGTCAAAGATGGACACCAGCAAAGAGAAAATTCGCTATATTTTAAAATATTTCTTCGATCAAGGTGAAAAAGCAGCCAAAGCGACTGAAAAAATTAATTTAGTTTATGGGCCCGATACTGTAAACGAACGTGTAGCACAAAAGTGGTTTGCTAGGTTCCGTTCCGGTAATTTCGATGTCAAAGATGCACCACGCGTCGGGAGGCCTGTCGTCGAAAATTGCGATAAAATCATGAAAATAATGGAAACAGACCGTCACGTGAGCACTTATTTAATTGCTGAGGAACTAAAGATAAGCCAGAAAACCGTTTGGAACCATTTGCATAACATTGGATTCAAAAAGAAGCTCGATGTTTGGGTGCCACACGAACTAACGCAAAAAACGTGATGGACCGAATTTCCATCTGCAAATCGCTGCAGAATCGCAACAAAATCGACCCGTTTCTGAAGCGGATTGTGACTGGCGATGAAAAATGGGTCAAACGGTCGTGGTCAAAGCTCGGGGAAGCGGCCCAGATGATGGCCAAGACCTGATTGACGGCCAGGAAGGTTTGCTGTGTGTTCGGTGGGATGGGCAAGGAATCATCTACTGCGAGCTGCTCCCCTATGGCCAAACGCTCAATTGAACCCTCTACTGCCAACAACTGGACCGCTTGAAGGCAGCACTCATCCAGAAGAGGCCATCTCTGATCAACAGAGGCAGAATTGTGTTCCATCAGGACAACTCCAGGCCATACACGTCTTTGGTGACTCACCAGAAGCTCCTGGAGCTCGGATGGGAGGTTCTAATGCACCCACATTATAGTCCGGACCTGGCACCAAGTGATTGCCATCTTTTCCTGTCCATGGCGAACGCGCTTAATGGTTAGAAGTTGGCCTCAAGAGAGGCCTGTGAAAATTGGCTATCCGAGTTGTTTGGCAATAGGGACGCAGCCTTCTACGAAAGGGGGTATAATGAAGTTGGCATCTCGTTGGCAACAAGTTTGTGAACAAAACGGCACATATATGACTTAAATCGGACAAATGCACACAAAGTTATCATCTTTTGAAAAATCATTAAAAAACCGAACGAACTTTTTACTTTACCTAATATATTTAAATCAAGTATTTTTGAATTGGTAATTAGTTGTTTTGCAGAGGTTTTGTTCTTTTTTCATGTAAAAACTGAAAAAATTTTACAAGGTGTAATGATTATTATCGAGAAAAAATGTTATATGTCTGTTTGCAGCAGACACCTTTAATCATTTAAAATATATGATTTAAAAAGCTTTAAGTCATCGGTATATAATAAAATTGGTGAATACTCTATTACAGAAGATATATCCTTAATAAATAATAAGAACAGAATCGAATAAGAAAAAACTCATTAAAGAAATATTGGCTGAAAACCAAGATTATCAAGTGTTTGCACGAGTCATTTATTTTAATCAAAAGCTTTGCTAAAGTCAATGTATATAACATAAAATTTCTAAGCTAAGAAAATTGATATTTTTCTAAAAATAAAGTTATCAACAGATCTCGACGTTCTGAGGGTCGAGTAAGCTTCCCCGGACATTTCTACGATGATGTCCGTATGTCTGTATGTATGTGTGGATGTATGTGTGTGTGTGTGGATGTATGTAAACTTCTTATAATGTATGATGTAGTAAACCTCTTATAACTTTGAAACCGATTTGAATAAACTAAACGGCATTCCAAGGGGTTTCATTGCACTTGCATTTCGTGTAAGTTTGGACCCAATCGGCCCAGTAGATTTCGAAAAATCTCAAAAAAAAAAATTTTGAAAAATCGTTTTCTTCCAAACGACTTGACCGATCGACACCAAAGACTAATCAAAAACACACCGTTTGTCGCGAACCGGGTCAAAATCGGTTGATTTACTTGCAAGATATCGAAAACGAAAAATTTCGAAAAAATCTTTTTTTTTTTTCAAATTACTTCCAAACGACTCGACCGATCGAAATTTGAACGTTAACGTATGAAATTAGCGGGAAGTTGCAGGGATGGCCCTTGAGGCCAACCGTTTTCCACATTTTTTTGTTTACAATTTGATGATTTTGTGTGATTTACAATCTATTCATTTTTAGTTATCACTCGAAAAACGCATTAACTTCATTGGTTGAAATTTTGAAAAAATTTATTTTCGAATCATAAAATCAAAGCCGTCTGATTTTCATTATGAATCCAATTACTTTTGCAATTTGTTGTTTTTGGGCTATCAACACAACCTTATATAATTGAATCTTGATATTTTACACATTATTACAATCCCTACTATCTCTACTAATATTATATAATATATTCAGGGATGTTGTAAAATCTGATAGTTGTCGGAATCAGAATTTAAACCGAAACAGAAATTGTATCAGTATTGTTATCAGAAACAAAGCAAGAAGATAGTCGTTGACAGATTTGAAATGTAAGTTTTGGAATTAATTTATTTTAATATAGAGGAAACAAATTGTCATAATTATTGAGTTTACGGAGAAAATGCTGATATTTTAAGAGGATTTACAAAACGTAATTTAGCATGTTGTTGTTGTTTTTGTAACGGTTACTTAGTCCACGCTTGGATAATAAGTTAGAGTTTGGTTGTCGTCGAGGTCATCTCCGACGGGAGGTCCAATAAACGAGCTGTTTCAACGAGGTTGGGCAATAGGGAAAAGGGTGTTAGAAGAGTTGAGTTCGTTGGGCATGCAAAGAGGTGGTTAGTGTCATGCGGAGACTCATTGCACGCAGGTCATGTGTTTGGTATGTCGGGGTCTATTCTGGATAAGTAGGAGTTTAACCTGCTACAGTATCCAGAACGAAGTTGCGCGATGGTCACTCTGGTTTCGCGAGGCAACTCGAGCTCTATGTCTGCTATGGGAGGTGGTTTGACTCCTAGTACGCCATTCACTGAGAGGGAGTCGGTAAAAGTGTTGATGGCTCCACTGTGAATGGCGGTCAGTGCCTGTCTGAAGTTCGTTGCGTCCGAAGTCCGGTCGGCTTACTGTCTAATGTCGTCGACGTAATTAAGGAAAGACCTCTTGATGTTTGTAGGAGGCGGCTCCGCTACAAGCAGGCGACTACAAAGGTGGTTTCTACGAAAACACCCCAGCAGAAACTGCTTGGAGAGGAGCTCGTTGTGTTCCTTAACCGGAAGCATACGGGCCTCACTATGTAGGTGTTCGATTGGAGCCATCAAGACGCATCCCGTGATAGTCCGGAGTGCATTGTTCTGACAGGTCTAAAGCTTCCTCGTCGAAGCATCGATTCCATTGCCCGACGTCAATACCGTGCAGTCATCAGCGTACGAGGTCACGGAAATTCCCTCTGGTGGTTGAGGGAGTTTCGAGATGTAGAAGTTAAACAGTTAAGGGGAGAGGACACCACCCTGCGGAACCCCCTGTTTAATTCATCTCAGTTTGGAGTTTTGACCTCGAAACAGCTATATAACTTGGTTTCTTGGACCGCAGCTATCGTTACGCGCTCCCGGCTCATGAATGCACCTATCTCCTCGATCTTGCTCTGGAGTCCGTTGCAGTTGAATTGTAGGAGGCGCGTTTGTCGCGGGTGTCCGGTCGTGATCCTAGGGGTGAATGGGGTGCGTGTAGGTGGTGGTTGTTGCAGCTGTACTATCCGCATGGGCGGTTGTCGCATTGTGGTGTTGATTGGTGACGCCACTGTATGTGATTGCGGGGGCAGACTCCTACACTCTCGTGTGGTGCGCAGACCGGAACACGACAGAAAGTGACACCAGCCAGTACAAGAATTGCACTTGACTGATGTGACATTCCGGCGTATTACGGTCTGACACACGGAACAGACTGTGCGAGGAACCAAGAGTTGCTGGGTGGTTCTCGCACGAGGGTTGGAGCTGGATGAAGGTTGGGGGGGAGGTTGGTCAGACTGGGAGTCATGTTGTCTGTGTGAGCTCCGTAGGGCCAGGGAGATCCTATCTTGGCCACTCGACTGGAGTGGCGGCGCAGTTCGCGAACATGGTGCAGGTTGCACAGCCGTTGAGGCAGATGTCGAAGTATTGCGTTGACAGCATGGAGTTACGTGGCCCACTCCCTATGTGTCTTAAGGCCTGAACAGGTCTTAAGATGGATCTATCCATTGCATGTATAGCACCTAACCGAGGTGGAGTTTGGGTGGAGCCTTTTAGCGCAAATGCAGCAGTAGAAATCCTCGGGGCCCGGGTTGGACT